AAAAAAAAAAAAAAAAAGTTAAAATTTTATCAGAGTAGTGGTTACCTTAGGAGGATTTTCACATGCAGCCCTACAGATGTTGTTAGGAGACAAGGACCTTTTCCCAGCGTCAACAGAGAAAGCCTTCCCCTAGCAATGGCACCCTGAATTTGGACTTTTAGCCTCCTGAACTGTGAGAGAATAAGTCTCTGTTAAAGTTATCTACTTGTGGTATTTGTTTTAGTAGCACTAGATAAATAACACAATATGTATGCTAAATAGATATGGGAGATCAAATGGGAGTACACCTGTATGCACAAATAATTATGGCTTTGGATATTTCTACATACACATTTCTAAGTGTGGTATATATACCCATATATACAATAGAGCACAGAGAGGACACAGTTACGTAAATTTCTTAGATATAACCAAACACCTCACAGGACTGAGTTACTTGGCTTGAAGGCTAAGGATTATAGTCTCCAGAGATATCTAGGTCATTTGGCTTATCATAGTTCATACAGATAATGTTCTACATCCTAATTTGGTGAGTAGTGACTGGGGTCTTAAAAGCTTATGAGTAGCCATCTAAGATACAACTAATGTTCTCTTCTCATCTGGAGCAAAGGAGAATGAAGAAAACCAAAGTCCCAAGAAGCAATTAGTCCAAAGGACTAATGGCCCACATGAACCACAGCCTCCTCTAACCTGAGACCAAAAGAACTAGATGGTGTCTAGCTATTTCTACCTAACACTATGACCAGGAACACACAGAAGGTTCCAGTTAGAACAGGTGAAAAATGTAGAACAAAATTCAAATTCATAAAAAAGACCAGACTTACTGATCTGACAGATACTGGAGGGATCCTGAGACTACTGCCCTAGGAAACCTTCTAACTTGGAACTGAAGCCATTCCTGGAGACCACCTTTTAGCCAAATCAAATGATTGACTGGCCTATAAAATAACCATCACCCAAAAAGGGCAACATCTGCCAAGAAGCAAAAATGAGAAGGGAGGGGCAGGAGAACTGGATGAATGGAAATGGGGAAACCCAAGATGGAAATGAGGAGAGTACTGACACTGTGAGGATCACAACCAGTATCATTTAACAATCAGTGTATGAACTACGGAAAGGAAAACTAATTTGCATGTAAATTTCACCTAAAGCACAATAAAGTATTTTAAAAAAATAACTAAATTAGCTGTTAAAAAATGTAATTAATAAGATAGTCCTGATAAAACAGTTAAAAATGTAATCCACTGAAATTGTAATAGTGGTTTAGTTTAGCATAATGAATTGATGGGATTAAAAATAACAAAAAGCTAGAAACATAAAAAAGAACTTTGAGACTATATCCAGATCTTTTAGATGCCAACAGATATAAAAGAAGGGCCAGAAGAAAAATAGACAATTCAGTGGCTAGCAGCCTCTAGTGGTCATTGATGGTCAAGTTTCACATCAGATGCTAGGTACAGAGAAGGAAAAGGTACTTCCTTATTTCCTCAAATACAACAGCTCTCATGAGAATATAAACCAAAGAAATCAGGAATAATAAAAAGATTACAATTATATCTTGCATATTTTATTGAAGAAGAACCTCAGATTAGTTGTACAGAAACAGAAGTAACTCAGGCAGATTCTTCAGAGGATATATTTATTAAGTTCTACAACCTTAAATAACCTTTACTTTAAAAATTCAAGTTAAAAGGAAAACTAGGAAAATTAGAAATTTCAACATCTTTCATGGAGGGATGGGGTGCTCTTTTATTGTATTACAATTATTTTACCTAAAAGAAAGGTGAGTTAGAAAGCTTCATGAGCAGGTGGACTTCATCTTGGTCTCCACTTTATGTCTTTTACTCCATGAAAATGTCTTTTCAAAGCAGTGTTATCTGCCCATGGAGAATTTAAACAGGAGTCATCATCATTTTCTTCCAATTTCTGGAAATAAATGTCTTACTCAGGAAGGCATTCCAGGAAAGTGTTTTGCACATAAAGAGACTGAAGAATCCATGACCAATCTTCCAATCACTCCCCCGCCTTTCCCACCAGTAGGACACGTCCAATGCCATAGACTAGGGGACATCTGGCAGGGCCCCAATGGCCCTAGAGGGGCTAAAGCTCTGGACAGGCCAGTCCCCCCACATCCTACAGAATTCACTTCCCCCACCTGCTCCATTGCCCATGGGTAAGACAAAGAAGTGTATGTTCTGGGCGCTAGCTCTGCTGAAAACATGTCACTGTCACTAATACCTTGAGTTCCTCCTGCCTCCTGTGATAATACAGCATCAGCTGTTTCTGCTCCTCACTGCTAATGATCGGTTCTCGGGCTGGAGCTCCTTGTCCTCGCTGCAAAAAATAAAGAGTGAATCATGGATTAAGGCACTCTTTTTTTTTTTTTTTAATTTATTTATTGTGATTTGGGTGAAGATTTACAGAGCAAATTCACTTTCCATACAGCAGTTCACATATACTTTGTCTCATGTCATTGACCACAGTTTACCACAATGCAACAGCTCCCCTCCCACTTCCTCCCCATAGTACCACTTCCCAGTGTCCATCCCTCCATAATCTCCTGCCCCCTGAGCTGTCTCCCTGTGCATAAGCTGCCCTTCTTTCTCCCATGATTGTTCTCTCCAAGGAGTATGTCTACTTGAGCTAAATGTTTAACTCACATGCCTGTACTTTGTTTGGCTAGAAACCACAGTTGTGGGTTCAATTCCGGACCTGAAGGGCAGCTAGGGGCCATAGTCTCAGTGGTTCCACCAGGCTCTATTGGACCAGCAAACCTAGTCCCAACCATCTTTTTTTTTTTTTTCTCCCTCCAAATGATTTTTTGAGTTTTGTTCCACATTGTTCTCCCTCTCTATCCAGGATTTCCTACATCCCTTCCAAGTGGATGACAGTGGTAGCTGGGCACCATCTAGTTCTTCTGGTCTCATAGCTGTATAGGACGCAGACTGGATGGTGTACCAGTCGCAAGGACTGATTGTTTCCATTAATTTTGGTTTTCTTCTTTGCTCTTGATGAGGAGAGACCCATCGTTGCATCTAGATGATAGCTTGCTAGCTTTTAAGACTGATTAAGGAACTCTTGTAGTGACAACTGGGTGTTACATCAAATATTTTATAACTGCCTTTGCCAACTCTCAGAGATAAAAAGGAGGTCAATTTCCAGACAGAATCATTAACAGCAGCATTGGTCTTCAGCAACAAGTAGCTCTGCACCCTTACAGTGGAGGGAGGGAAACCAGTGGCTTCAGCCATGCCTTCTGACTAAATGCCCACCTATCCAAGACCCCTCTGTCACAGCCATTCTTGAGCCAGCCACTGCAGTCCACCAGGTAAGGAAGGATGCTTCAGAGCCAGAGGCTCTCAACAGAGATCATCAGAGAGGATCCGTTTCCCCAAAATTATAAAGGTTTAGGAGATAGCATAAAACTATATAAAGTAGCCTTAGAGTTCTACAGTTCTACATTATATCCCTAAGATGTCTCTAACCCTTCCTTACTTTGAAAAAGCTGGAAATCGGTGCTCTCAGATGTACTTTTCAATTAAAGGATCATTTTTTATTTACTCATAGTCCTATTTTTTTAAGTTGAAATTAACATGGCATAAAATAGCTGCCATCCAGTCACTTCCAATTCATCATGAGCCCAAGTGTGTCAGAGTAGAAATGAGCTCCACAGGGTTTTCAATGGCTGACTTCTTGGAAGTAGATCACCAGGCCTTTCATCCAAGGTGCCTCTAGATGGACTTAAACCTCCAACCTTTGGGCTAGCTGCTGAGTGTTAACTCTTTGTACCACTCAGGGACTCCAACATGGCATACCCCCAAGTTACGCCTCCAAATTAAAATTGTAGATCGTGCCAATTAATCTTTATTTTCTTCTAGTTGGTATGTATAGGAGTTCTGGTAGTGTCGTGCCCAAGGCATATGACTGCTAACTAGAAGGCTGGCGGTTCAAACCCACCAGCCACTCCTCAGAAGGAAAGTTGGGTAATCTACTTCTGTAGTGATACCGCCTTGGAAACCCAAGGAAGGGTTGCTATGAGTTGGGTCTGAATCCACGGCACGTAACATCAACAACAACAGTTGGTATGCATAAATAGGACATTTTTACTTTAACTCCAAGCCAAGAAGATTAAAGTATTAGCACAAGTAGTTTAAAATTTTCAGTTTTACTGTAAATTTTCGTTAGTTTGAAAGTAACAAAAAATAGTGAAATGTTAAAGCAAAAGTACTTACTTGCTGAATCTTGACGATAATTTTAGTTTTTTCATTTTTTCCCACATAGTCTGCAAGCTTCTTTGTTCTTCTTAATTCCTTAGCTGCCCACCACAGCTGTGCTTCTGATTCTTTAATGACACTGAGTTCTGCCTAGGACCAAATGTTAGGAGTCCTCTTTAAGGGTTATAAAGGAGCTCTGGTAGTACAGTGCCTAATGCATCTGACTGCTAACCAGAAGGCTGGTGGTTTAAACCCCACTAGCCACTCCTCAGAAGGAAGACTGGGCAATCTTCACTACCACGGAAACCAATGGGGGTCACTATGAGTCAGAATCGACTCAATGGCAGTGGGTTTGGTTTTTAAGGTTATAACGACATTGCCATGGACTCCCACCCCAGAGCACAGAGCTGCAGGCATCCTCCTTCCCTCCCTTAGGAGTCTCTGCTCTCCCCACCTCACTCACTGCGCTTGCTGATTTTAGTACATACGTTCTGCGTGTCAGCTCATGCCCTGATCGATTAACTTCTTGCTCTGGAAAATGAAGAGTGTACTGTCTCATTTGTACCCTCACCCATAATACTAAGTCCTTCTTATGTGGATTTTCTACAATACTATCAGGAAAGAACACTACAATGTCTTTTTTAACTTTTTATTATGATTTGGGTGAAAGTTTACAGAGCAAATTGGTTTTCCATGCAATAGTTAAGAACAATGCAATCTTGCTGGGTTTTTTAATTTAGGTATAAAGTTGTTGTTTTATTTGCTTGCTTTTGTGTATTCATCTAATTAAGATGGCTTAGAGAAATTATATATATATGGAAGGGGAGCCCTGATGGGGTAGTGCCTAAGGCATCTGACTGCCAACCAGAAGGCCAGCTGTTCAAACCCACCAACCACTGCCTGGAAGAAGACTGGGCAATCTACTTCTGTAGATACTGCCTCAGACACCCAAGGAGGGGTCACTATGAGTCAGAATCAACTCGGCGACAGTGAGTATATATATAAACACACACACACACACGTCTGTGTGTGTGTGCATGTATACAAGAGTCCCTCAGTGGAAGCGCTCAACTAACTGAAAGTATGTCAGTTTGAACCCACCCAGAAGTACCTCAGAAGAAAGGCCTGGTGATCTGCTTCCAAAAGAGCACAGCCATGAAAACCTTATGGAGCAGTTCTACTGTGTACACATGGGGTCACCTTGAGTTGGAGTCAAGCCGACTATAACTGGACTGGTTTTCTGACTAGTAGCCAACAAGTTTGGAACACCTAAGGGAGATGAACTTGTCTGTCAGTTTGTCATCCTGTGGTGGTTTACATGTTGCTATGAAGCTGAAGGTTATGCCACCGGTGTTGCAAATGCCAGCAGGGTTACCCATGGTGGACAGGTTTCAGCAGAGCTTCCAGATTAGGAGAGACTCAGAAGAAGGAAGAGACTATCCACTTCTCAGAGAATTGGCCAGTGAAAACCTTATGAATAGCAATGAAACACTCTCTGTTACTGGAAAACCTTATGAATAGCCCTGAAATACTATCCGATATAGTGCCAGAAGATAAGCCTCTCAGATTGGAAGACACTCAAAATAAGACTGGAGAAGAGCTGCCTACTCAAGAGTAAAGCCGACCTTAATGACATGAATAAAGTTTTCGGGACTTCCATTTGCTGATGTGGCACGACTTAAAATGAGAAGAAACAGCTATAAATATCCATTAATGATCAGAACACGGAATGTATGAAGTATGACTCTATGAAAATTGGAACTGCCAAAAATGAAATGGAATGCATAAAGATTGATACCCTGGGTATTAGTAAGCTGAAATGGACTGGTTTTGGCTGTTTTGAATCAGACAATTATATGATCTACTATGCCTGAATGAGAGGCTCTGGTGGCACTGTGCTTAAGGCATTTGACTGCTAACCAGAAGACTGGAGGTTCAAACCCACCAGCCACTCCTTGGAAGGAAGATTGGGAAATCTACTTCTGTAGTGATAACTGCCTCAGAAACCCAAGGAGGGGTCACTATGAGTCAGATCCAACTCAATGGCAGTGAGTTTGGTTTTGGTTTTATGCCAGGAATGACAAACTGAAGAGGAATGGTGTGACATTCATCATCACAAAAAATGTTTCAAGATCTGTGCTGAAGTATAATGCAAAATTGTCAGTGATAGGATAATATCAATATGCCTAAAAGGAAGACCATTTGATGCAACTATCATTCAAATTTATATACCAACCATCAAAGCCAAAGATGAGGAAATTGAAGATTTTTTTTCACCAACTTCTGTGATCTGAAATGGACTGAACATGCAATCAAGATGCGCTGATTAACACTGGTGATTGGAATGCAAAAGTTGGAAACAAAGAAGAATCACCGGTAAATGGAAAATATGGCCTTAGTGATCAAAATAACACTAGAGACCACATAACAGAATTTTGCAAGACCGACGACTTATTCATTGCAAATACCTTTTTTTTAACAACACAAATAGCAGCTATATATGTGGACTCAGCCAGATGGAGTACACAGGAATCAGAGTGACTACATCTGTGGCAAGTGGCGGTGGAAAAGCTTGATATCTTCAGCCAAAACAAGGCCAAGAGCTGATCGTGGAACAGACCATCAATTGCCCATATGCACTTTCAAGTTGAAGTTGAAGACAATTAAAACAAGTCCACAAGAGCCAAAATATGACCTTGAATATATCCCTCCTGAATTTAAAGACCTCTAAAGAACAGATTTGATGCATTGAATACCAATGACTGAAACCCAGAGGAACTGTGGGATGACATCAAGAACATCATCCATGAAGAAAGCAAAAGGTCATTAAACAGACAGGAAAGGAAAAAAAGACCAAAATGGATGTCAAAAGAGTCTCTGAAACTTGCCCTTGAACGGAGAGTAGCTAAAGCAAATGGAAGAAATGAAAAGGTCAAAGGGCTGAACAGAAGATTTCAAAGAGCAGCTTGACTAGACAAAGCCAATTACTATAATGAAATGTGCAAAGATCTGGAGTTAGAAAACCAAAAGTGAAGAATACGCTTGGTGTTTCTTAAATTAAAAGAACTGAAGAAAAAAATTTAAGTTTCTAGTTGCAATACTGAATGAAAGATTCTATGGGCAAAATACTGAATGACAAAGGAAACATCAAAAGAAGACAGAAGGAATACACAGTCACTGTACCAAAAAGAAGTGGTCAATGTTTTCTATTTCAGGAGGTGGCATATGATCAACAACCAATGGTACTGAAGGAAGAAGTTAAAACTGCACTGAAGGAACTGGTGAAAAACAAGGTCCGAGAATTGAGGGAATACCCACTGAGATATTTCAACTAATGGATGCCCCACTGGAGGCACTCACTGGGTTACGCCAAGAGATTTGGAAGATAGTTAACCTGGCCAACTGACTGAAGAGATCCATATTTGTACCCATTCCAAAGAAAGGTGATCCCACAGAATGTGTAAATTATCGAATAATATCATCAATATCTCATGCAAGTAAAATCTTACTGAAGATAATTTAAAAATGGCTGCAGCAGTATTTTAACAGAGAACTTCCAAAAATGGAAGCTGGATTCAGAAGAGGACGTGGAATGAGGGATATCACTGCTGATGTTAGATGGATCTTGGCTAAAACAAAGAATACCAGAAAGATGTTTATTTTTGTTTTATTGACTATGCAAATGCATTCAATTGTGTGGACCATAACAAATTATGGGTAACACTGAGAATAATGGGAATTCCAGAACACTTAATTGTACTCATGAGGAACTTATACATAGACCTGGAGGCTGTCATTTGAACAGAACAAGGGAACACTGCACGATTTAAAATCAAGGGAGTGCGTCAGGGTTGTATCCTTCCACCATACTTATTCAATTTGTTGTCAAGCAAATAATCCGAGAAGCTGGATTATATGGAGAAGAATGTTGCATCAGGATTGGAGGAAGACTCATTTACAGCCTGCAGTATGTGGATGATACCACTTTGCTTGCTGAAAGTGAGGATGACTTGAAGCACTTACTGAGGAAGACTGAAGACTACAGTATGGATTACACTTCAATATAAAGAAAACAAAATTCCTCACAACTGGACCAATAAACAGCATCATGATAAACAGAGAAAAGACTGAAGTTGTCAAAGATTTCACATTACTCAGTTTTACAATTAATACCAATGGAAGCAGCAGTCAAGACATCATATGACATCCTGAATTGGGCAAATCTGCTGCAAAAGACCTCTTTCAAGTGCTGCAGAACAAAGATGTCTTCTTGAAGACTAAAGTGCACCCAACACAAGCCATGGTATTTTCAACTGCCTCTTATGCATGTGAGAGCTGGACGTGAGTAAGGAAGACCGAAGAAGAGTTGATTCTTTTGAGTTGTGGTGTTGGTGAAGAACGCTGAGAGTACCATGGACTGCTAAAAGAATTAACAAATCTATCCTAGAAGAAGTGTACCCGGAATGTTCCTTGAAAGTGAGAATGGCCAGACTTCATCTATCTACTTTGGTTATGTTGTCAGAAGGACCCATTCCCTGGAGAAGGATATCATGCTTGGTAAAGTGGAGGGTCAACAATAAAAGGGAAGGCCCGGAACAAGATGGATTGACGGTGGTTGCCACGATGGGCTCAGGTATAGCAAGGATGGTGAGGCTGGCACAGGACTGGGCAGTGTTTCATTCTGTTACACACAGGGTTGCTATGAGTCAGAGATAACTCGACAGCACCTAACAACAATAACAGCTAACAAGTTGGTGGTTCAAACCCACCCAGTGGAACCTAGGAAGAAAGGCCTAGAGATCTGCTTCCAAAAGGTCACAGCCATGAAAATCTTATGAAGCAGTTCTACTGTGCACATACAGGGTTGCCATGAGTCTGTATTGACTCAGTGGCAATTTTTTTTTTTCCCAGAGAAATATATACTATCCAATAGGTTAAGAAATGAAGAAAATATGGGTAGGAAATATGATGAAACAAAGGGTAGGTCTTGTTGTTGTTATGTGCCCTCGAGTCGGCCCCAACTCATAGTGACCCATCCTTGGGTTTAAATTCCATGCTAAGTACTAATATGTTTCAGTAGAAGTAGGCTACAAATTAGGTGTCTGGCTTCCCAGTGGCCAAAAAACATGGGAATATTCTCAGTTACTCTGGATGGGCAGACTTAAAAACCTTCTCTGCAACCTCTCTACATGTGGGCTGAACTCCTCACCCACAACCCCTTCCAGGGTCCTCTGTTGAATCCAAAATTCCACACTGAAGCATGAGGTAGCAAAAATGGAAAGCTGTATATAAAGCAAAAACTACTCCCACCGGAGGTTAGTCAAATCTGATGAGTATCTGTTCTTTTAGGGGTATGATATCACCTTCTAGTACACCCAAGAGCTACATACCTGAGTTCCTGACAAGTCTTCTTTATTTTCAAATTCCATTCGGATGGGATCATAGTGGGGCAACCCCATGGGATAAACAATCATCACTGCACCACGAAGCTGATCCAGGGCATCTTTCACCATCTCCATAGTGACACAGACATTGGCTTCCACTTGTTTCTAAAAGTAGACAGACACCGTTATCTAAAATGCAGCTAATAAATTCATCAAAAATTCAAAGTTCTTGTATAGGGCTCTTGCCAGATACTCCTTGAGCAATAAGAGGGAATCAAACAGTTCTTGCTCCCAAAGCCACCATAATCATCTGAGGGGCTGAGGCAGGTGCATGGCAGCCTCCATGAAAAAGCAGAACAGCAGTAGCATGAGGAGGAGTGCCGGGAATGCAAAGCACCCAGTCAATCTGCACAGATGGGAGACAGGATCAGCAAATACAGTGTAGGAGATGGCATCTCAGGTGGGCCTGAACACATATGTGGATAATAGGTGGAGATGGGAGCCAAGTGTTTCAGGAAGAGTGAGTAAAAGCAGACAACTATATTTGGGGCATGAAGGAGAAGAGAGCTAGAGGGACAGATTGGAGCTATTTTTAGAATGGGCATGAAATACAGGCTGAATTGTCTGTTAGCAATGGGCAGCAACTGACTTTTCTAGGCAAAGGTGGAAACACTGGATTAACCTTGCAGTAGGTGTAAAGCAGACCCACGTGGTAAAGATCAATAAGGAGGCTCTGCAGAGTACAGCGGCAAAGCTATAGGGAGCCTTCAATAGACTGGTGGTGGTGGAAGTGAGGAGATGGGAGCACATGGTGGCATGTGGGGGAGGAGAGGGAAGTGTCAAAGGTGACACTGATGGCAGCTTCTATGGCATTTCCTCTGATAGAAATGGGAAAGTCTGTAGGGAGTGCTTATTTTTGAGTACAGAATAAAGAGGGAGACGTGAGGAAACAATGAGGTCAGTTATAGAAAATGTGAATTTGCAGTGCTGGTCAGACATCCACGTAGACCCATTTAGGAAGCAGCTGGAAATTCAGGTCTCAAGTCCAGGAAGATGTCAGGGGTAAAGGATAGAGGCTTGTGAGTTATCTGCAGAGTGGCAGAATTGCCATTTGGCAGAATAGGTAAAAGGCCAACAGCGAAGGAGAAGAGGGTCCAGGATAAAGTACTTTAATACCAAAGGTAAGAGGCAAAGAAAGAAAAAATGGCAATTGGAGAGCTAGAAGAGAAAAAGAATAGAGAAGGATCATGGATGTAGTCAAAAGACAGAGAGGAGCCCAAGTGTTAGCACAAGAAAAGGATTGCTGATGGGAGGGTCACTGGTGGCAGCCATGTCTGAAGGGAAGAAACCAAAATCTGGTCTAAGAAACCTAGGGGGCTAAGCATTTAAAGGGAATGTGCTCCCTCCTTCAGGAAGCCTGTGAGAAGAGAAGGGAGGAGGGCAAGAGGGGACGTTAAGCTACATGGAATTTGAGGCTAAGGAAAGAGGCCTGAGTACGTTTACAGAGAACAGTTGGAGCCCATAGGAGAGAGACTGAAGACAGCATGGCTTCTAAGTAGGGGGAGAGAGCCAGATAAAAGCTGGAGATGCGGGGGCAGCAGCAAAGATGGGAGAGAGCCCTGGCATGAGAGAGACATGGATCTCTCCCAGTCCTAAGGGAGGGTCAAGAGAAGCAGGAGATAACTTTGAGGGGTGGGGAGGTGGAGAGCTGCAGGGCTCCTGTCAGGTGGCCTTGATTTCCCTGCTTAAGCAGGACATGGAACTGTCAGTGGGGCAGGAGCTAGAGGAGACAACTAACTCTGGAAGTTACAATCTGCATTTTGAAAGACAAGCTTTACAGTATCATTTAAAAATCTAACCTTAGATATTATTGCTTTGGCTTCTTCTATAGTCTTCTTTAACACTTGCTTCATTTTTTCATTTGGAGCTATTAAAAAGGGGGGGTGGGAAGAAAAGACAGTCATCAAATAAATAATTTCTTTAAAACTCTTTTTAAAAATCCCAATCAGTTCTATCTATGTCAGGGAGTAAGTGAATGACAGAGTAAGTATGGGCTTTAGGTGGCAGAAGCATAAAGCTGGCTGTGAAGCATTAAGTAATGATCGCCTCATGACAGCAGAGACCTGGAGGGCACTTAATATGAAGTGGCAAAAACTTTAAAGAATAAACGTCACTGAACTAGAGAGGGGTCAGCAAACATTTTCTATATAGGGCCAGAGAATAAATATTCTAGGCTTTGCAGGCTACTGAATCTCTGTTGCAACTGCTCATTTATGCCACTGAGGCAGACAAGCAGTCACAGGCACCAATGCAAACAAACAAGGTGGCTGCATTCCAATAAAATTTTATTTACAAAAACAAGTGGCTGGCCGAAGTTGGCCTGTGAACCATAGTTTACCAACCGTTGGACAAGAAGAAAAAATAGCAAGTTGAAAGTTTAGAAGCAAAAACAAGGGACATGGAACATGCAAATCTAAGGAAGATGTGACAAGCTCAAACTTTTTATTCTTAATAAAGAACAATATTAATTGGACACTGAAAGTATTAGAAATAAAATGGTTAATTTAAGACAGTATCTGTTTAAAGATGAAATATAAACTGTTAACCCCTTCTTATGAAATATTATTTTTCTCATTGATGCAATTCCTTCCGGAAAAAAAAAAAAATTCTCTAAACTGAGTACCAGTTTAGGTATAAAAAGACATGGAAGACAACCAACCGTTACGTAGGTTAAAATTCAAAGGAAATAACACTGTTATGTGCCGATTGCCCCATCTTCCTTCCGAGGAGTAGCTGGTGGGTTTAAACCGCCAGCTTTCTGGTTAGCAGTCAAATGCCTTGGGCACTATGCTACCAGAGCTCCTGGAAATAACACACACACACACACACACACACACACATATTTGTATTTGTTAAGGCCTTGCAGGGACAGTTTTGAATTTCTTCACTTTCTCAAATGACTGACAGTGCTAGGGACAGTAGATACATGAGTGTTTGTGAAATGATTAATGATAGCTTTTTAAATGGAGCAGGATAAAAGGAATACACTATCAAAAAAGGATTATCATCCTTTTCCCCTTCAAATTCCAAATGATCAACCATATACTAAACACAGATGTAAGGACAGTTTCCTGAGTGCTCCAATATGGACTCAGGCTTGGCATCAAAGAGGCATGTCCTTGAGTCAAGAGGTGGGGGGTGCTGTATGGAATCCGCTGCTGTCTTTCCCACAGAATGTCCAAAGAAACCCAAGTATCTGCAACCATACACAATACAACCTCCCATAAATTTTCAATGACTATCTCCCCAAAGGAGCTCTGGTGATGCAGTGCCTAAGGCACTTGACTGTTAACCAGAAGGTGGGCAGTTCAAACCCATCAGCCATTCCTTGGAAGGAAGGTTGGGCAATGTACTTCCATAAAGATACCGCCTCAGAAATGCAAGGAGGGATTGTTATGAGTTGGAAACTACTCAATGGCACATAACAACATCATCTCCCCAAAACTATTAGGTTGAATCATGTAAGACTGCTAATATTTAACCATTTTTGACCGACAAAAATGGTTATGTCATATGGTTCATCTATTTAAAAGCTAGCTGTCACTTAATAAGAGCAAGAAGGCATGAGCTTCATTTATCCATCTAGCTCATTCTAGTTTAGGGTTCTATCACAAATTATATAGCATAGTAACTTTTATGTAGGAAGACTGAAGCCAATTTTTAAATTTCAAGGACTACATTCATACTTTATTGGTAATATTCAGGCATACTATAGAAGAATGCTCCATCACCTTGTCCATTCCTCCGTCCGATATCATCTTTTTTAAATACTGAACCCCCACTGGGTACACACTTCTCTCCCCATTCATCCTTTAGTTTCAATTCTTCAATCTGGTCATCAGTCAGTCCTTGCATATTAGGAGGGAGAAATACACCATGTTCTGCTAATTCTGCCATTTCTTAAAAACAAGAGAAAATTAAACAATAGGTATCACAATCAGCATCATCACACCTTATGCCCTAATAGGAGATAAGCTCCCCAGCTGTTACTTTATTTAACAAACACTTAGAAGTCACTTTGAAGGCAGTGGCGTTTCAGTGGTACAATTCTTGTCTTCCGTGTGGAAGACTTAGTTCAATTCTCGGCCAATGCACCTCAAGCACAGCCATCATCTCTCTGTCAGGGGAGGTTTGTGTGTTGTTTCTGCAGAGCTTCCACACTAAGACACACTTGGAAGAAAGGCCTGGTAATCTACTTCTAAAAATAAGTTAGAAAACCCTATGGATCACAAAAGTTTGATCTGCAACCAAAAATGTGGATGGCACAGGACTAGGTAGTGTTTTGTTCTGTTGTGCTTGGGGTGGCCGTGGGTCCAGGGCTGACTTGACAGAGCTAAAAACAAGTTACCACTTACTATGTGCCAGACCTATCCTTAACCTTTGACAAAGAGTGACCAACTCAGCTTTAGTCAACAGAAGCAAGAGTTTATGAAACTCTTCCCGGTTGGCATTCAGAAGGTACAATATAAATATTCATTAAAGTCTGAATGCATATAGGGCTTTATAGTTCTCTGAGTGCTCTCACAGAATTCTACTATTTAATTTAACCTTGTGAGGTGGGTGAGACAGCTGTCCACATCCCCATCCTCCCCAATTTATGGCCGTGTTATCTCAGGCCTCACACAACTGGCCCCTCAAATAAATAAATCCACTCTGTTCACTGGGAAGGATTTCAGGCAGGTCACATCCCTCAAAAGTGACTGAGACAGGACAAGGGCCTTGGCTTTGTAGTATCATGTTCACTATCCAAATGTGTGGTTTTATACTTTTCCTATTCCGTTTTCCATATACAAACCAAAACTAAAACCAATTGCTCTAGTCAACCCTGACTCATGGCAACTGTGTGTGTGTCAGAGTAGAACCATACTCTGCAGAGTTTTCACTGGCTGAGTTTTTTGAAAGTACATCACCAGGCCTTTCTCCTAAAGTGCCTCTGGGTGGACACACACCACCAACCTTTTGGTTAGCAGCAAGCACATTAACCGAATGCACCACCTGGGAACTTTCCATATATATTCACACCAAAGCCAGTGTACATTTTAACAAAATTGGTGTTCTTTCCTTTTTTAAAAAATCTTTTTTAATATGGAAGGGAACACATGGGTATGGGAGTTCCCTAACAGTATGTGGAAACACCCCTGGCCTGAAATAATGTAATACTAGGGGAGCTCTGGTGGCAAATTGCCTAGGCACTTGACTATTAACCAGAAGGCTGGAGGTTCAAACTCACCAACCACTCCTCAGAAGGAAAGTTGGGCAATCTACCTCCATAGTGATACCACCTTGGAGGGGTCGCTATGAGTTGGGTCCGACTTGACGGCACATAACAACATGGAACAAATGGTGTCACTGAATGGAATTGCTGATTGTCTCTTTCCCACCAGACTCTAAGCATCTGGGGGGTAAGGGGCTGGTCTCATTCACCCTTGTCTTTCTGGTGCACAGGTACCTGCCTGAATCACAACTGGCACTGGCCTCCCTCAACATCTGGAATAAATTTATACATTCTAAGTTCACTATTGTTGGCTGCTGCCAAGTCAGCCCCTAAATCATGATGAACCCATGCACAAGGAAACAAAACACTGCTTGATCCTGTGCCATTCTCATCACTGGTTGCAGATAAGGCCACTATAACCCACAGGGTTTTCATTGGTTGATTTTCAGAAGTTGATCACCAGACCTTTCTTCCTTGTCTGTCTTAGTCTGGAGGCTCTGCTGAAACCCGTTCAGCATCATATAGCAACACACAAGCCTCCACTGACAGACGGGAGGTGGATGCACATGGAGTGTATTGCCTGGGAATCGAGCCTACGTCTCTTGCATGTTGTTGTTGTTGTTATGTGCTGTCGAGTCGGCCCCGACTCATAGCGACCCCTCCTTGGGTTTCCGAGGCAGTATCACTACGGAAGTAGGATTGCCCAACCTTCCTTCCGAGGAGTGGCTGATGGGTTTGAACCGCCAGCCGTCTGGTTAGCAGGCAAGTGTCTTAGCCACTATGCTACCAGAGCTCCTCGTCTCTTGCATAGATGACAAGAATTCTACCACCGAAATAGCAATGCCCCCATGACTCTTAACATTCAGCACTATATTTTCAGTTCATAATTTTAACAGTAAAAGAAGTTGTTTCTCTTTTCTCCCCAAAGACTTTAATTTTAAAGTAACATTGAATATTGAAATTGTTTTGTTATGAGTGAAATTTTGGTTTGTTTTTATACATATGTTTCATAAAAGTAGAAACCATGACCCTTATGGAGTTCTCTGTGGACTAAAAATCACATGTAGAAACAATAACATCTTAGACCATACCTGGAGTTAGAAACAATAACATCTTAGACCATACCTGGAGTATCATCATGTCAGGTTCTAGGACGGTACTGTCCCATGCAGCAACTACTAGCCACATTTGGCTATTTAAATTCAGTTCCTTGATCACACTAGCCACATTTCAAATGCTCAACAGTCACAGGTGGCTAATGGATACTATATTGAACAACACAGAGTACATTTCCACAGCCAAAGAACATTCTATTGGACGGTCCTGCTCGAGAGTGTGTTCCAAGGAGGGTAACCTTGGCAGTGAGAGATACTGAAATCCAATAAACTCGAGAAAGTCAGGCTTTCTCCCCAGGAAAAGTGAAAAGGACACCAAGGCTATCTCAATGTCTTCTCACCTTCGAAGGGCAGTTGTGGTACCACAGGAAAATGCTCTACCTCCAAACTAAAGAAAACCAAACTCACTGCCATCGAGTGAATTCTGACTCATTACCGACCCCTTTGCAGTTTCTAAGGTGGTAAATATTTATGGAAGTAGATTGCCCAGTTTTCCTTCCACGGAGTGGCTGGTGGGTTTGAACCACCAACCTTCTGGTTAGCAGTCAAATGCTTTAGGCATTACACCACCAGGTCCTGCTCTACCTCAGGAGTCTCAAAATATTAAATTCACTTTTTAAGAACCCACCCGGTTATCTTTGCATCTCTCCAACTTGTTTAATTCAATACATATGCTCTTCAACCCACTCATGGCTTCCTCCTAGGGCCCCTTCCCTCATTACCTTGTTCACTTCAACCATTTACTCACCAGTACCTTAATCTTGGCTTCCAGACACTCGCACACTGGCCTCACTCCCTGCCCTCCTAGAGCCGGGTGCCAGGAATCAGCCTTACCTTCTGCAGTGTGTCTCCAAGAAGTTTGCTGCCTCTTTATTTATCCCTGGTTTACCCCAGGGTGGGGGTGGTTCCCATTTCAACCCCAAACTAAAACCAAACTCACTGCCTTCGAGTCAATTCGACCCAGAGTGACCCCTCCTTTGCTTTCCGAGGCAGTACCTCTATGGAAGTAGATCGCCCAATCTTCCTTCTGAGGAGTGGCTGGTGGGTTTGAACTGCAAGCCTTCTGGTTAGCAGTCCAATACCTTAGGCACTTAGCCACTGCAAATCTCCTCACAAACACTAAGGGAGCTCTGGTGGTGTAGTGGCTAAAGCATTTAGCTGTTAACCAAAAGGTCAGTAGTTTGACAGCAACAGTCTGTAAGCGGAGACAGATGGGGCAATCTGCTTCGGCAAAGATTTACAGTTTTGGAAACTCAGTGGAGGTCTCTATGAGTGGGAATCGACTCGTTGGCACTGAGTTTTGTTTGTTTTTTTGTATCTCCCGCTCCTAGCCTGCCGGGGAATGTCTTGTATGTCCTGCCGAATTTTGTCAATCCCAGATCGCCCCATTTCTTCATCCCTCCAGGCCTGGAGCTGTCCAGGCCCCTAATTGCCCCAGCTCGATCGTCCCGCCTGCAGACACCTCAGACTTGCGCCGCCCCGAGGGGAGACAGGTGACCCTTCAACAGCCACGCTTCGCCCGCCAGACCTCACCTGAGCAGAGGCGTTGCACCTTGAGCCGCCCGTTGTAGACCTGGGTAACCTGCACTGTGAGTTCCTCCAGCTCTGTGCTCCCAGGCGCCTGCAATAGGAACTGGCTCTCGTCGCCGCGCTTCACGTGCAGGAGAACCATGTTGGTCACTGGAGAGAGTACGGGATGTGGGGCCCGCGGCCTGGACAGCCGAACAGTCACCGGGAAGGACTAACGGCAACAACCGACCAACCGCTGCTTAAGAGACAGGAAGTAAGAACTAGGGGTCAGCCGGACGGAAGGGGGCGGGTGGGGAACTGAACTCACGCCCGGAAGTGGCGGTTGTCAGGAGCAACAAGTAAACACAGAGGCTGAGGGGCCGCCAGCTCAAGGTCAGAACCCTAGGGTAGGAAAACCCTCAATACACTCCTGGAAGTAGGTGCTACCAGAGACAACAATCCATACACACAACTTGAGGCCCGCTGGTGCAGACGGGCACCTGTAGAGAATTCGCGGGACCCCTCTTCCGGACGTGGCTGTTGAGACAAATTCTCAAACAGAAGCCTCGAGTTGGGGGCGGACCACCCAGTCGACTTGCCTGGGCGCTCGAGATTCCAGGTCTGGTGGGAAAAGATGGTGAGAAGGGGTAGGGTGAAAGACCCCCACGGTGGCTGCACCCTGCACTGGCCCCCTCACTTCCGCTCCAAATCCCAGCAGTCATTTCGGCAGCCTGCAGTCTTCACTTCCGGAAACGTCTGCCTGCTGCTTCCGGCTTGGAGGAGGTGCGGAGCTGTAGGCAATGCTCTTGTTTGCTCAATCGAGAGGGCAGTGTCTTCCCTTCTTTTTGCTGATTCGTATTCCCTCATCTGGAGTAGTAAAAGCGGCTGCTCCCAGTTGAGTCTCCCAAAAATATGTAGCCAGTCAGCCATCCGTCCAATAAATTCATATCAAAGGCCATCAGAGTCATACACTCCTCTTCCAGGCCCCGTGACACAGCGACAGATCCAGAGTCACTGCTCACATGGTCTTACAGTTCTAAGGTCGCAGTAAGGAGAAGAGGACGCACAAAAGTGGGGTTAAAGAGAAGTTTTTATTTTGCGCTCCCGGGAGAGGTTCACGGGTCCCTGAGAGGGGCCAGAGAAGTCGCGCTGCCCAGGTGAAAGAAAGGGTTTTTTATAGTGATTTTCTTCCTGGTTCTTAGAGGACCGGAGTGAGAGCAGGGTATGTGTTACAGGAACCAATAAGGTTAAAGTACCCCATTAGCATGGGGTAGAAAGCAGAGTTGAAGCACTTCATTAACATAGTGGGCAGGAAATGGTTGGGGGCTTTGGTGAGTAAGAGTCAGGTGCTGGGGTCTTTCGTAAGCAAGGGTTATGTGCTGGGGTCTGGTATGGGCTCTGGTCAAGTGCCTCCTTGCTTGACCAGTTCTTATAATTCCCTCTGGCTAAATCATTCACCTGCCTGGCCACCCATGTTTCTGCCTAACAACAGTGTCAGTGACAAAAATGAATGGACAAAGCAAATTCCAATAGAGATATAAAGAAAACAAAATACTATAATTGGCAATTTCGATTGGATAGTTAGGGAATACCTGAAAGAGTGGGTGGTATTTGCACTTGTTTAATAACAAGAAGCTAGCAAATCTAAGAGGAATCCAGGGGGGTGAAAACAGTTAACATATTGTGCTGCTAACCCAAAGGCTAGAGATTGGCGTCCACTCAGGCATCGCGGAAAAAAACCCAGGATCTACTTCTGGAAACAAAACAAAAGCCAGCCATTAAAAACCGTAAGTACTACTTAGACACACATGGAGTCACCGTGAGTGAGAATCAATGCCCTGGCAACTGGTTTAGCAAAGCTAAGATAGTAAAAGGCATCTACCTGGTTATCTCCTTCCAAGGGGTAGGGATGTATATGAATTGATTTGATTATTATAGGCAACTGCTACTTTGTATGCCTGAAACTTTGGCCCTTTTCAGCAAAACTGCATCCCCAGAGGGACATGTGTGGTGTTGAGGAGATGCTCAAAGCCAGCCCAAGGCTTGTATGTAGAATGAGACTGCATAGGAGGAAGCAGCCCGGGGAGAAGAAATAAATGCAATTGAAAACAAGAAACAATAGAGAAAAATCAATGAACCAAAAATCTGGTTCTCTGAAAAAATATTGGTAAAATTGGAAAACTTTCAGCAAGACTGAGAAAGGGAAGAAAAATACAAATTACCAATTTCAGCAATGAAACAGTATTACTACAGACTGTACAGTCACCAGGTGATGATAGTAGGTGCTGTTTCCAACTCATAGCAACCCCATTTGACAGAATACAAGTGCTGGTAGCATGGTGCCTTGACTGCTAATCAGAAGCCTGGCAGTTCAAACCCACCAGCAACTCCTCAGTAGGAAGGTTGGGCAATCTACTTCTGTAGTGCTACTGCCTCAGAAACCCAAGGAGGGGTCCTATGAGTTGGGTCCGACTCGACAGCACATAACAACAACAGACGGTTCTTTTGGCTGTAATCCAGGAGAATAATTCCAGGTCTTTCTCCCGCAGAGCCACTGGGTAGGTGCAAACTTTACACAAATAAATTTAACAGCTCAGATTAAATGAACCAATACCTTGAAAAGTACAAACTTCCAGGACCTCTCCAATAGGAAAAAACAATTTGAATGTCATTATAACTACACTCACTTTCATGTATATAATTAGGTTCCAAAGACCAAGTTCTTAAGTAAAATTTGGCATTACGAGAAAATGGAGAATGATTACATCATTGCACAACTGCCAAACCACTGAGAATCACAGCCCAGCCACCTAGACACATAACCATCACAACACACTTACTCTCGCCTCTCGGCATTCGTTACTGCCAGATGTACATTGTTAATAAGCAAAATGGTCAAACAGTAGATTTTTTACTATTGTCATAAATGTGAAATGCTGCATAACAAGGCAGTTACTAAGTGAGAAGTAGGTGTATTAAGGAAATAGAATTTCTAATTTTAAATCTCCCAAAAAATAAATTCCCAGGCCCAAATGGTTTCATTAGGGAATTCTACAAAACATCTAAAGAAGAATTACACTAGGACTTCTGGTAAGATGGTAGAATAGGCAAACAAGCTACACAGACCCTCTTCAACAAAGAAAAGAGGAACCAATTGACATAGACACAGAAGATAATCCTGGAGCCCTGAGCTTTGAAAGGAAGGATACAGAAGTGGATTAACTAATAGAAAAACCTGCATGAAAACAGTGAATAAGGAGATAAATGGAACTGCAGACTGTCTGCTATCCTGATGGCACAGACAGTTTGAATATTTCCAAGTGGTGTTAGGACCTGAGAATTAACTTAAAAATCGGCCCTGCTTGCCAAGAGCTGCATGGATGGCTGCACTGGTGGCTGATGACTAAAACAGGAAACAGCAAAGGAGACAAACTGAACTGTAGACTTTCAGCTGTCTGGAGGGTCCAGCCATTTTGGATATTTAAAGTGACAGTGTTCCTCGTTCAGATTCCAGGGACCAAAGAATAGGCTCCACTTGCGGAGGACAGCACGGACATACTAGAGGCTGACTGGAAAGATGCGATATTCTCCTTGTTACTCTTATACCCCACACCCTCTTGGTGAATGAAAGTGCAGCCATCCCTCACCTCCACCCGCCTTCTGAGCTAGCAGGAATTCCATCCCAATCTGTGTGCTCTCATGGAGCCTGGGTGCCCTGTGCTGCCACCCCCACCCTCAGATTTGTTTTTTGTTATTGCTTTTACTTTTATTATTTTTTTTCCCTTCCCAGGTTCTAGGTTTTGGCTTTTTTTGCCTCTTCCTTTTTCCTGGTTCTCATTTCTTTCTTTCTTGTGCCTCTTCCCATCCCTTCTCTTTTTGCATTCTTCCTTTTTCTTCATTATTCTCCTACTTTACCTCTTTTCTCTTATTTCCCCATCCCCAGATATTGTGGGTTTTTTTTTTTTCTATTTATGTATTTTTTTTGTCTTTTAAAAATATTTCCTTAAATATCATGTCTCATTTATTGCCTTTCCTCTTTCCCTTCTCTTTTGATTTTTTCTTGTGTGTTTATGCAATATGTGTTTTTTGTCCTTTGTTTTTACGTTTTTGGTGGTTTTTCAGTTGTTGTTTTTGTCTGAGCAGGAGATAGCAACTGTGCCCATATGATACCCAACCATACCCGTACCTACTGCAGCCCCACCTACTGAGAGAGGGCCACCACTCGCTTCTGCACCAACTGGCAAATGATACATGACAGCCAATACAAGCTTGATTCACCCTTAACGGCTCTTTACAAACAGCTAACAGAGATCTCTACACCTACTCTCATTCTCTATCATACCCACCAGGAGACAGATGGTAAGTGCATAAGCACTGCCAACTAGCAAACAGAGAAGCACAGTACCATGCTTACTCAGATACATCCAAAAAAAAAAAACGATGAAAATCTTGGGCAAATCACTCCAACATACAATCACCAATTAAGTATAAATACAGCACTGTCACACAATGTCTCAGAGACAACAGACCATCACAGTCCACACAAAGAAGCAAGATAAAGCAGTAGAAACAAGGGACCAGAATACAGACCCGGAACACATCCCGGAGGAAGCAGCAGCATTGGAACTCCCTGATAAGGAAGTCAAACGAATTATATTTAGGTACCTTCAGTGGATTGAAAGACATATCAAAGAAAACACTGACAAAATTAATGAAACACAGATAAAACCCTAGAACAATTTTGGAAGACAATACAAGAACAAAATGACAAAATAAATGAAGAATTAGAAATGATACAAAATCTACAGATAGAAATCTAAAAGATTAACACTAAATTTTCAGGAATAGATAACACATTGAAAGGGCAAAGGAGGAGAACTGAACCAATGGGAGACAGAATTAGTGAGACTGAAGACAAATACCTCAATACTTCTTTGGAAAGGGATCGATCAGAAAAAAGATCTAAACAAAATGAAAAAAGCTTAAGATTCATGTGGGATACCATCAAGAGGAATAACCTATGTGTACTCAGAATTCCAGAATAGGAAGACAAATAAAACCACAGAGAAAATAGTGGAAGATTTGTTGGAAAATAATTTCCCTGATATGATGAAAGATGAGAATATATCCATTCAAGAAGTCCAACAGATCCCAAACAGGATAGACCCCAAAAGAAAATCACCAAGACACATCATCATCAAACACCAAAACCAAAACCAAAGAATCCTGAAAGCAGCATGAGAGAAACAAAACGTTACCTACAAAGGGCAACCAATAAGACTAAGCTCTGATTTCTTAGCAGAAACCATGCAGGTGAAAAGGCAGTGGGATGGAATATATAAAACCCTGAAAGAAAAAAATTTCAAACCAAGAATTATATACCCAGCAAAATTGTCCCTCAAGTATGTGTCATCTTGCCGGGCCATGATTCCCCATGGTTTGGCAGTTAAGTAAAGATGTAATCTAGTAGTTTTGTAATGATGCAATTATCCCCCACGATGTGATCTGATATGATCAGCCAGTCATTTGTAAGGGAATTAAGGGTGGAATGCAACACCCTTACTCAGGTCACAGCCCTGTTCTAATGTAACAGGAGTTTCCCTGAGGTGTGGCCTGTATTCCTTTATCTTAAAAAGATAAGAGAGAGAAACAAGCAGAGAAGGATAGTCCCACTACCACTAAAAAAGAAGATCCAGGAGTGGAGCACATCATTCTGACCTGAGGTCTCTTCACTGAGAACCATAAGACTGATGCCAAGACACATGGAGGTCTCCAATTAACCCTGGGCCCACAGGCGTTGAAAGGAGAATAGGAACTTTTCCCAAAGCCGACAGAGAGAAAGCCTTCCCTTAGATCTGGTGCCTTGAATTTGGACTTCTAGCCTCCTAAACTGTGAAAGAATAAATTTCTGTTTGTTAAAGCCATCCACTTGTGGTATTTCTGTTATAGCACTACTAGAAAACTAAGACAGACATCCATATAAATTAATGTAGTGAATTTAAGATGACAAAGGACATGAGAAGATGTTCAGTATCATTTGCTATTAGGGAAATGAAAATTAAAACAACAAAATATCACACAACCATAAGAGTGGATAAAATAAACAATACTGACATCATCAAATGCTGGAGATAATAAACTTATACATGAATGTCCACAGCAGTTTTAATACCCCAAAACTGGTAAACACATCAGATGTCCTTCAATGGGTGAATGAATAAACAAAGTGTGGTACATCCACACCACAGACTACTACTTAACGATAAAAAAGGAACACACTATTGATACATGCAATAACCTGGGTGAAGCTCTACTTACGCAGAGTGAAAAAGGCAATTCCAAAACTTACCATGTCAGTCTATTTATGTAACATTCTTGAAATGGCAGTATTATAGAAATAAATTGTTGGTTGCCAGAGGTTAAGCATGGAGGTGGGAAACTGGGACAAGAGGGTAGCAGGAAAAGGGCAACATGAGGGATCTATATAGTGATGGAAACATTCTGTACCCTGGCTGTATCAATGCCAATGTCCTGGTTGTGATATTGTACTATAATTTTGCAAGATGTCATCATTGAGGAAAAACTGGATAAAGGGTAGCATGGGATCTCTCTATATCATTTCTTACAACTGTGTGTTAAGCTACAATTGCAATTTCTTTAAGTCTGTTACTCTGAATCATAACTTCTTAATCAGAGAATAATGAACATAATTCAGTTATTTAGTAATCAAGGTTGCCGTTTTGAAATCAATCATATAGGAATGAAAAAAGGCAGTACTCATAGAACTACAAACCTCAGCCTCTCAAGTTGTTTGTTTTTTTGTCTTTGTCTAGCTGTTTATGAGTCTGTTTTCCCTCCACCCCATCCAGTTATTTCCGCTCCTATGGGTAAGAAGATCATCATTCATGCTTCATGTGTCATTTTCAAGGTACAGGATTTTGAATGAAGGCCTCTCTTACAGAATAAGTGCATGGGCTTCTTAATGATTTATAATCTTAGAAAATCTTGCTTTTAGTGTAATATTATGTGAAGAAGTGAAATAAATGGGTTAAAATACTCGAGTTGACAACAGGAGTTAACCTATATTCCCCATATGTTAACTATGTTTGCATGCCAACTATCAGAGAACTGGTTAAGAAAACTCCTTCCTTTTTGAGCAAAGTATCCAACATGGTAAAGACAGGTATATTTATTTTATATGACAGCACATTTCACAGGATATATACAGCAGGTATACCACTGACTTTAATACTTCTATAAAGTATATAGTTATAAATATTCTGTGCCACATAAGCAATAAAATTCTTACATATAATCTGCAAACTACTATAGAGAACAAAGAATTCACAAAGAGATCCTTAGTGTCTAATTTCCACTCTGCTTTGAACAGAATTGGTAAATATTTTAATAATACACAGAAAAGTGGCTAGTTATTTGCAGCATACCTTTTGACTTCCTAACTTTGTGCATTTTCAGCAACTTGCCAACTATAATTTTCCTGATAAAGGCTGAGCTGCTGCATGATATGTATATTTTAGACAGTAGTTTATATTCAGTAGGGAACATTGCTCACAAAACTAATTTGCACTAGTGAAGTTTAGCTAATCATGAATTATTTTGTTAATGGACAGCAAATACCATATACACTATTCCCACAGATGTTAAAGCCACAGTTTCAACAAGTTAATTCACATTTGAAGCACAATGCTTACAGTAATACTGCTGCTTAAAATATACTACTGCTGAAATGATTAGACCCTTCCCATCCGCCCCCACAAAAAAAAACAACCCACAATATAAAACTCACAGGAGTTATTTCTAACAGCAAATCTTAGCTGTTTAACAGAGGGGGGATTATTTCTATAAATATAGTATTTTGATAACATTTGAGCATTTAAAAAAGTGCTATTTTCCTAATAGATTTACTTATGTTTTAAGTGCAATGCAGTTTGCTGTGCTTTTACATATTCTTAGCCATAAACTCTATTCCTGATACTCCCCCCAATGCACACCTTTAAAGGTAAATGTGAATATACGAATTCAGGTAGACACACACAAGCCTTCATATAAAAGGAATGTTAATGTGAGTCTTAATGGGTAAAGATGATTTTAACTTAAACTGACAACAAAACAACTAGGAGTTTTCTGATTGAGTTTACATAATGATATCAAAATACTATGCTCTGTAAAAATTCTGTGTAATTTTTCATAAAATTAATAAAAGCAGGATTAGTTGCATGCTGGCAGTGCAAGAGACAAAATCCACAGCTAATCTGAGGCATCGCCTCCAAAAGCAGCACGGTATATGTGTTATGTAACCTTTGGAGGGGAGTGAGTATGTACCCTATGTGCCCAATTCAAAACACAGAGGGCTGCCGCTTTTCCTGTGAAAAGCAAAATGCCAAAGTGAAAGCAGCAAATACTAGAGTGTGGGAGGGAAATGGACAACATATACCTCGCTGTATGGAGAGAAAAAAGTACGTTTAGACCTAACATTTCTAATTAAACTTGATAATATGTGCCTTCCCTACATATAAGGCCATAGTGCTTGAGAGAGAGGGCTGAAATATCAATTCACATGACAGTAACCACAAAAGATGCTGTTTCCAACTGTAAGCACTTTCTCCTAGAGAGAAAGGTATATAAAGGTGCTGGAGCGGAAAGTAACAGTGGGGTGGTGTGTGAGTGGTTGAAGAGATGGGGTGTGTAATGGTAGGTAGTAAATCAGGCTAGTTTGGGAAAGAAAATATTAAAATGTCCAAATTACATTTTCAGTCATATTTTTGGTAATGAGATATTTTAAAAAGGATTTTGTTACAACTTTTATGTAAAAATTTGATTCAAATTATATCCTAGAATTTAAATGATGAGTTTTACAAAGATGTAAATG